AGTTGAAGAAACTGAGGTTCTGAGAGGCAAGGTGCTCATCAGAGTCCAGAGAGACTGGCAAAACTAGAATGGAAACCCAGTTGATGTTCCCTCTGGCTCCAAAGTCCCTTTCACCCCCTTGCCCTTGCCTGGCGGCTGAGCCTCGGCCTGCTCCTCGGGGCCATGTGGTCCCGAATTGTGTCCCCCAGACACCCCAGCTGGGCACATCTCCCTGCAGGGGTTCACCCCGCCCGTGGCAGGCCAGCCGCAGTGTCAGCAGCCGCCCCAGCCCAGGAGGGTCCCCCGTGTCTGCCTAGAGGTGTGAAGGGTAATGAGGCCCCGTAATTAAGGTTTCTGAAGACATGGCCGGGAGATTTATAGACAGGCTTTGTCAATAATTGTGCTCCCGGCTGCAGATCCAGCGAGACATCGATAAGTGCTCGTTACAGCTCTCCCCGCTCCCTACCCTGCAGCCCCCGCCCCTCCTCAGCCATCGGCCTGCCTGTTCACGGCGTCTATGTACACAGGCTGCTCTCAATTAATTTGCACTTGTTGGCACCATCTGTTCTTTTCATGTGTCCTTATCGGGAGTGTGTGTCCTGCCTCCTGCTCAGATGTGACAGTGCAACCCTCCTCGTACATATAGGAGCTTCCTGGGCAGGCTCACATCTCCCCTCTCAGACGGGGCTCCTCAGGGTGGACTGTCTCCCCCCTCAGTCTAGGACCCCTGAAGGCAAGGCCAAGTGTTCCTCTTCATCTCCCCCACCCAACACCCACAACCTCTCTCCCTGCTGAGCCAAGCTTGGCCTGGGACCCTTACCGACCCTTCTGAGTCTGAGTCCACCGGGCAGGGACTCAGCCCTCCAGAGGAAGCTTCCAGACCCCAAACCAAACCAGACCCTGGAAGGCTGGCTACCTCTGGGTGCTGGAAGGCAGGGCATTGGTTCTGGTCCCAGCTCTGGCTCCCATCGCCTGAGCTATGGCAGGTTCCTGCTCTGCGAACAGTGACACCTTTGTGTCACAGGGTGGGAAGGGGCTGAGAAGCCACTTGGAGGTCTCTGTGTCCCTTGAGCAGCATTGGTCAAGGGTGGTACAGGGGCAAGGCTTGGACAGCTCCTAGAGTGGGGGTGGGTCATGGCCTAGTGGCTCCAGGATGCCAGGGCAGGTGCCCCCCCAGGTAACTGAGAAAAGGCAGCATCTCAAGGACACCTTCCCTTGGTTGTCTCCTCGCCCCAAGGTTTGGGGCAGCCAACATCCCAGCCCACTCTTCTCAGGGTCGTTCTCTCCTCCAGAAGGTCTCTCAGTCCCTTCCAGCCCAGCACAGATTTCTAACCCTGAGGGCTGTGAGTGCTGAGCTGGCTCTGCCGCAGAAGTGCTAGACAACTTCTTACCCTCTCTGGGCTCTGGGTCCTGCGTAGCACATTGGATTTGTTTAGAAGGCAACCAGATCTTATTCTGGGAGGGTCTTTGGAAATTCACAAGCATGTCTGGTGCCAGCATCCAGGCCCAGCCCGGTCCACGTTGCCTGCCTACAACAGGCTGGACAGCTGGGCCTTAGACTTGCATCCCAGGTCCCATGACTGAGCTGTGCAGTCTCACCTCTTACCAGCCCCTCCTCCCCACATGTCCTGACTGTCTGCACCCCCACAGTGTGCCAGGCTGCTGTGCACCTCCACACCTGTGCTCCTGCTGTTCCCTGTGCTGGGACTGTGTCCCCTCCTTATGCCTGTATCACCTGACAAACTCCTACTCATCCTTCAAAACCCATCTCCAGCTCTGACATGCCCTCCAGTACACCCCTGCCTACAACCCGGCGTGAGGAGGGGCTGGCTGAGGCCCCCCACTGCTGCATTTGCCATACTGATTTATTATGCCACACTGCCTGCTGTCACATCAACCAGAATACAGGCTCCTTGGAGACAGAGACCCCAAGCCTTGGTCACATCTGTATCTCCCGTGCCCAGCACAGGGCCTGGCCAAGTGGGCCTGCCAAAGAGTGTCTCCTGAACTGGAAGGACCTCAGTCCCTGGCCTGGGTCAGGGAAAGGCAGGGCTCACTTGTCCCCTAAAGATGGGAGGAGACACTCCTCTTGCCACCCTGGCTGCCCACCAATAGGATCATGGCGACCTCAAGGCAGACAGTGGATTCAGTTAGGGCCAAATGCAAACACACACCGTGGGGGTGGAGGGCACAGAGGAGGGGGCTTTAACCAAGCTCCCTGCCCACTCTCCCACTGCCAAGCCCCTCAGTCTAGACCCATCCCAGAGCCCCTCTGTGGGCATCACTGGCATCATGGTGAGTCCTTTCCTGCAGACAACTCTAAGCTGTGGTGGAGCACCTGGGCTGGGGATTTGGGGTGGGGGAAGGGTACAGTTCCCAGGCTCCACATGTATGTCAGGCCCAGCGGCACTCCTGCCAGGAGAGAGTTTTAGAAATGGAAATGGAGGGCTGTGTCCTTCAGCACAGGTGCCACCTCTGGGGGCTGGCATCTCTGGCTTCACTCGGCCCATGTACAGGGCACAGAGCCCCAGGTGCCCATGGGCCTCCTCCTAGGTGGCGGCAGAGGCCCACAGCTAGGCAGAGCCCAGAGCAGCCTGGCAGCATGCCAAAGCAACGGCAAAAACCACCTCAGCCCCGGGAGCCTCCCCTCTCCTCCCCTCCCCAGCCCCAGCCTCCCCGCCCTCATGTGTCTGATGCAGTCATCTTATCTCAGGGAGTGAGGGCATTCAGGACAGCTCTCAGAACGTATGAGCCAGACCTCGAGCCCGCAGGGGTGGGGGGAGCAGAGCAGCCGTGGGGCTCCAGGAGATGGGGTGTGGGCTCAATGGAGGTCGTTGCAGGGGACCAGGGAGGCATCTGCACCTTCTGGTTAGGCCAGCTTCAAACTCGGGTGGGGGGGAGTTTGAAGCTTAGTAATTAGACAATTCACATAGTAATTGTCTTGTGTGTTTCACCCAGTGATAAGGAGTGGGGAAGGGACAGGAGGTGGGGGCCCTTTAGCACCCATTTTATAGATGAAATGCCTGAGGCCAGGCAGGAGACCCTGAGGCCCATCTGGCTTCAAGGGGCAGGCTCAAGCCCCTCAAGGGTTCGGCTCCCCTACCTCTCAGCAGCCCACACTTGTTCCGTGTCCAGTGATGGGTCCCTGAGGGTCTGCTGGGGTGCCCCTCCGGCCTCCCGCCAGAGCAGGGCTGGGAGACAGCCATGTCTAGGGCCCGGCTGAGCTCAGTGCCTGCGTCTGCATAGTGCATTATTGATGGGGCTTCTAATTGTACGTTTCCCAAAGTCTACAGGCCTTTGATGAAAAATTCATGGCACACCCGAGGATGGGGGCGGACTCAATCGATTGGTACACAGCAGGCGGGGGAGGGAGGTGGTGAAGCCTGGTCTGGGAGGCTTCTTGCCCCAGGATCTTTGGGATAGCGGGGGGCACACACCCATTTCCCTGGTGGGGAGGCAGAGGGGCAGGAGCAGGAAGATCTAAGGCCCACATCTGGGTGCCAGCCGGTGGGTGACTGGTGCCATCCAGGGAGCATGATGACTCTGCCACCAGCCTCCCTTTCATTTCCCTGGAGGGGTGCTAGACCCTTCAGAGCCCCTCGTAAGAGTCACACAGAGGAGGGGGTAATATTTCTGGAGCCACTCTTATATGGCAGGCACTGCGCTTGGAGCCGTACGCCCACAACCTCATTTAATCCCCAACAGGGATGAGGTGGGCAAAGTGATGCACTCCATTTTACAGAGGAGGAAACAGGCTCAGAGAGGTTAAGTGACCTGTCCAAAGTCACACAGCTGCTTAGTAACAGAGCCCACTGTCCTTCCACTTCACCAGGCCCACTCAAATAAGAACTAATGGGACCATGGGGATTGTCTTGTACAACTCCCCTGCCTGTCCCTATTGTTCAGAGGAAGAGACTCCATTCAGAAAAAGCGGATTAAATGAAACTTGAGGCCTGCAACACTGACAGAGGCCAGAGGCCCCTACCCCGTGCAGAGTGCTGAGCTAGGTGCCCAGCAGTAGGGGTGGAGATCTTGAAACTGGTAGAGGTGCCTGTCTTGGCCTGTCTAGTCAGAGATTATTATGGTGCCACCACTGAGGCCCCAAAGAATACTTTCATTCATTCATTCATCCATTCAACAAGTAAACAAATATTTATGAAGTCCCAGTGCTGGTCAGCATCTTGCTAGGTCCAGATGGAGGGCCCTATCATGAAAGTCCTTGGGACCAAGCTTGTCTGGGACAGACAGGCTGAACCCAGTTCAGCTGGGGAAAGGCAGGCAGGCCCCTCCATGCCTGAGGAGGGTGTCTCTACAACCCAGGCTGAAGACATTTCTATCAGACGTTCTGCCATCGTGACCAAGGCCGTTTCTAGGTGGCGGGCGGGCTTGTTTGGGTTTGTTTTTTCTTTGCTTCCCAGTGAGTTTCTTTCAAAAACATCCACCCATGTCTCTGCTGAACTAAAAAGAAAGGAATGTGTGCAGAGCATCAGGAAAGCAGACAGGGGAAGGCCCCAGGGGCCCGGCGTGGGGCCCTAAGCCACACTGCAGCTTTGGGGAGGTGGGCTGCTGCCGTGTGTGGGGGGGCTCCTGAGGGGACAGGGGGGAATCGGGGAGCAGAGAGAGTAAACAGGAGTGGGAGGAGGAGACTCAGGGACAGAAGGTGGGGCTCAGTGGGAGAGAAAGGAGGGACAGGGTATGGGGGTAACCAGGAGGCAGAGAAAGTGGAGAAGAGATGGGGGAGCTGAAGGGGGAGGCAGGGACCAAGGTGTCGCCAAGGGCAGGTGAGGGAGGAGGGGTACTGAGTCTGGGCCAGGGGAGTCAGAAGGCCGGAGCCCTGAAGGGCCCCACAGCCCTCCGTGGCCCTGCTGTCTCCCTGCAGTTCTATGGCCAAGGAGTGAATCTTACGTGATTTCAGCTGCCCCCACCAGGCACCCCTCCTCCCCGGAACAAAAGGGAAGTGGCCCCATGGGCCTGCCTGCTTCCAGCTCAGGGCTGGGCTCCGTCACCGGCAGGCACTTGTTGTGGCAACAGTCCCTGGGGACCCATCCTGGGGAAGAGGACTGCTAGCGGTAAAGATGATGGAGCCAGGGCCCCCACCCCCTCCAGCCCCCACGGCTGCCGCAGGCCTCGGTGACAGCCTGTCTGTAAGTCGCCCCCACACCCCTGGTTCTGGAGGATGGGTTGGCTCCCTAGCAGCAGGTGTGTTGGGGTGTGTTGCCCAGCAACCAGTAGAGGTGTTCCCAGAGCGTCTACACATGGGAGGCAGGGCGGAGAGGACCAGGGCATTGGCCCTTAGATGCCCATGGTCACAGGAATCTTTTGCAGGGCCCCAGCTCCAGCCTAGGCCACCTGAGCCCACACAGTCACCCAGAGAGGGAGGAGAGAAGGGCTTTTGGGAAAATCCCTTAAAGTGGCCATTGTCTCCTGCTAGCCCGGGGCCTACCTCTGGCATCTTGGAGGTCCAGCCTCGGATCCTAGAAAGTGGCTGAGCCTGGGCTAGCCTGGGAAGCCTTGCTGGTAGTGCATGTGCGGTGCAGAGCTGCGAGGAAGAGTGGGTGTGGCAGATGGGGCATGCAGTGGAAGCAGCGGCCCAGGCCAGGGGGCTGGGGCCGTCCGGGGGAGTGCTAGCCTTTCTGGTTTGGGCCCCAGTTGCCAAAGCATTTCTTCTTCCCCTATGGCAAGAATCCCAGAGGACAACCCCAGCAAGGATCATTCCCCGAAGGGTACAGATGAGCAGGCACAGAGTGGGCAAGGGCCTCACTTCGGGTCATTCAACAGCTGTGGGCAGAGGCTGGATTAGAACCCAAGGTTCTGGGTTCCAGCCAGGGCCCTTCCCCCTCCCCACTCTGAGGCAGCCAAGCTCTAACCAGGGAGGATTCTGGCAGGAGGTGACCAGTGGGGAAGGGTTCTTTGTGGAAGAGTAAGCAGGGCCTGTGAGACCAGGGCTGGGATCTGCCCCTCACCACCACCTGAATGCCCAGCCCTGTACTTCCCTGGGCTGAGAGCAAGGGCTGGCCCCAGTCTGGCACCAGCAGAGGCTGGACTCTGGCCCAGTACCCAAGGAGTAGTGATTAATGGCCTGTCTTGGGATAGCCTGGGGGTCTTCCTGGAGGAGGAGGGCCCAGAATGGAGCCTGGAGGGTCTGGCAGGGTTCAGGAAAGCCTGGGAGGGGAAGCCAGCATCTTCCAGGAAGCCCCGCCCCCACTCCAGCCTAGCCGGGCTCCATTGTCCCGGCCAAGCCCAATTAGCACCCGGCTCCTGCAGGGGCCAATTAGACAGGGGCTGAGGTCAGTTGCCCACAGAGGCCCTGCCTCCCCTCCAAGCTTCCCCAAGCTTCCCCAAGCACAAAAGCTTTCTACACACCGTCTCTGCTGCAGCAGGAAGTGAAAGAAAGAACAGAAGAAAGGGAAAATTCACTCCTTTTGTTTCTTTGCCATAACCTTGGCCTGAACAAAGAAGCAACTGGCTCCCCTCCCCGGGAGGGCAGCTTCCATGGAGCAGGGAATCTGTTTTAAACAGCAATTTGCACAGATTTGTTGTGGTTGGGAGGCCCAGATGACATTCAAGGGGAACCAGGAGCAGAGACCTGGGTGAGCAGGGACCTGGTTCTAGAACCTTCCATGACTCCCCACTGCCCTCTGTCCAGAAGCAGAGCTCCCGGGCCTGGCTGATGCAAACAGGTGAGCCTGCTCTAGCGCTCTAGCCAGACAGACCTGGGTACTTTACTGCCTCCAAACAGCCCAGCCCACATGGGCCTCCACACCTTCCCTCAGTGGTCCCCACCTCTCAGATCCCACCCAATCCAGTCAAATGTCACCTGCACCTCAAAGGCCCAGCTCTACCCTCCCCTGCAGGATCCCCTCCCCAACTCCATCCCTGGCCTTGACTTGCACTCCTAGGGTGTGAGCCGTGTCCCACGCAAGGCCTCCCTCCCACTGGGAACTCTCTGAGTGCAGGGGTCTCCCCACTCCCAACAGAGCTGAGCTTACGGGTGCAAACAGCAGCTGCCAGGCCCTGCTGGGGAGCAGGTGGAAGGAAGATATATGCCAAACAGAGCCCAGAAGGGGGCTTGGGAAGCTGGGGCCACTCTGGAGTGGTGGCAGATGAAGAAGGGGACCCACAGTGCCACTGCCTCCTCCAGGCTCCCACCCACAGGGTAATGCCCCATCGCACAGACCACCCTGCCCCCGCCTCCCTAACCCTACCCTCTGTGTCTCGGGAGCTCAGCCTCTCCCGCTGTGCTGTGTATGCCCTGGCCGCCGCGATATCCCCGCCCAGCCAATGAGGCTCTCAGTCCTCCCTCGCTTGCCCTCTGGTGGTGATGAGGTTCCAAAGTGAATGGAGGGAAAGAAAGAGGCTTTTCTCACCGCCAATGGGTTCTATTGTCCCTCAGTGGGCGGGAAGGGAGCTTGGCTGGGTGAGCAGTGGCAAAGAACTGAGAGGCCAGGGACCCAGTGGCATTGGCCTGTGTGTTTCTCGGAGTAAGGGGACTTCTTAGCCATGGTGAGCCCCGACCCCTGGGAAAACACTAGTCTCTTTCAGCAGATTTGCAGACACAAGCTCCATCCTCCCCGACTCGTCCCTGAGACAGCCCCACAGAGACTGGGCCCTTGCTCCCTGGTCTCTGGAACTGGAGGAGGCCAGCACCAATTTGCAAGTTGAATTTTCCACTGTATTTTAAAGAAATGTGGTTATTTCCCTTTATTTTATTTATTTATTTATTTATTTTTGAGATAGAGTCTTGCTCTGTTGCCCAGGCTGGAGTGCAGTGGCACAATCTCGGCACACTGCAACCTCTGTCCCTCTGCCTCCCTAGTTCAAGCGATTCTCCCACCTCATCCTCCCAAGTAGCTGGGACTACAGGCACCCACCACCATGCCCCGCTAATTTTTGCATTTTTAGTAGAGATAGGGTTTCACCATGTTGGCCAGGCTGGTCTTGAACACCCGACCTCAGGTGATCCGCCTGTCTTGGCCTCCCAAAGTGCTGGGATTATAGGCGTGAGCCATCATGCCCAGCCTAATTTTTGTATTTTTAGCACACAGAGGATTTTATCATGTTAGCCAGGCTGGTCTTGAACTCCTGACCTCAAGTGATCCGTTGGACTTAGCTCCCAAAGTGCTGGGATTACAGGCATGAGCCACCACACTCAGCCAAGAAATGTGGTTAATTCCCTTTTAAAATATTGGAAAATTTAGATTGGCCAAGACAGGACTCTCTGACATTCCAAGGAGATCTGTGGGAGTTCTGTTCTGGCAAATGATGGCAAATCTGTCAGGAGCAGGGTCTGCATCAAAGGATTTGCCCAAGTAAGTCAGGGAGGCAGGAAGGCCCTTCCCTGCCATCAAGGTCTTCGGGAGCTGAAGGAGGAGCATGTGGGTCGCCCTTAGCAGATGGGGGCTGCCAGGTTGCTGTGGGCCAGGGGCGGCTTCTGGGCAGAGGCAGGGAAGGCTTTGAAGACAGAAAGGGGCCCAGGAGGCTGGGTCCATGGGTGGAGTGGCCACGGCTAAATTCTGAAAGGGGGTCTAGCTGTGCTGGGAGAGATGGAAATTCAAAGCTGGAAATTTATCATGAGGGTCAATGGGAGCCACTGGAGGGGTCTGGAGCCAGGGAGGATGTTACAGTTACCTACCATGACAGCAAATGACCCTGAAATGCTGTCGTTTAAAACGCAGTGTTTTATTATCACACCTCATAGCTCTGTGGGTCAGGAACTCAGCCACAGCACAGCAGGTCCGAGTCCTCAGCCGGACGACCTACGGGCAAGGGCAGGAGCAGCTGGGGCTGGGTGGGCCTCCCTCTCTCCTATACACTTAGCTTGGGCTTCCTCACAGCCTCAGAGCAGCAAGAAATTAGCAGTTATCAGGGAAGAATGGAGGTTACTGCAAGATGGGTCTTGTCCCCAGCCCCTGTCGCCACCACTCAGCCCCAGCACTGGAGCCGGACCAGGACAGAGGCCCCAGCCTAGGTTCAAGATTCACTGAGTGCCTTCGGGCAAATCCCTGCACCTCTCTGGCCCCAATATCAGAACTTCTGAGATGGGGATTCCAGGGCTAGAGGTCTTGGAAGGCTGGCCGGACCGCCCGGAGGAAGAGCATGTGCTCCTGGAACTGGGGAGCGAGACAGCCACGAGCATACCTTCCCCACGACCTGAGTCTCCGGCGCTCAGGCTGGCCTCATCCCACCACCGGTTGAAGCTGCGCGTCTCTGGGAGGCTGCTGCCCTCTGCCGGCTGCAAAGGCAAAGCACGTGCAGGTGGCCTGGGCCTGCCAGAGATGGAACCTGGGGGTCCAGGGAACCCTGAGATTGGGTGGCTGCACAGGGAAGGGGACAAAGGAGAGGGTGTGTGCCTGGTCCAGCAGACCCATCTTCTGCACCCACTCCAACACTAGTCAGACTGCCACCCACACTGCCTCAGACCCAGCAACCTGTCTCAGGCCTCCTTCCCTGGGAGAGTGAAGCCCCTCCCCACTCCTACCCCTGCTCCAGCCCAGGCCTCCCCTATGCACCCCTCCCTCTTACCTTCGAATTCTCCAGGAAATCCTCTCTCTCCACCCGTGCCTCCCCTTGATTCTGTGTTCCGAGGTACCTTTGACCCTTCTCAACCTCACTGTCCCCTCAGGCCTCCACAGCACCCAGCGTTCAAAGCACTGACCAAGGTCACCTCCTCTAGGCCACACCTAGAGGCTCCCTCTGTAGATCTGGAAGCTGTTGAACCTTCTCTCCTTTTTCCAAATATCTTTTAAACTGTGAAATGTAATCCATGTGAAAAATTGCATTGAACATATAGAATATCATTGTTATAAATTGTTATATAGCAAATGTCCATGAAACCACCCCCCAGGATAGGAAACAGTATCGTCAGTATCATCAGTTTCCTCACGCCCCCATGCCCCTCCCAGCCACATCCCTCCACTCCCGAATGTGATCACTCTGCCAGCTTTCTGTCCTCGCTTTGCTTCTTTATTTTCATTTATGCATCTATTTCTTTTGAGACAACGTCTCACTCTGTTGCCCAAACTGGAATTCAGTGGCATGATCTCTGCTCACTGCAACCTCTGACTCCCAGGTTCAAGTGATTCTCAGGCCTCAGCCTCCCAAGTAGCTGGGGTTACAGGCACACGCCACCACACCTGGCTAATTT